GGTGAGGATCCCACCTCCCATTCCATCATATCCCAGCCCAGCAAAAGCCAGCCATAATGGCACGCACACCGTGCTGGAGACCTCCGAGGTGCACGGTGATGGGGCTTAGCAGCACTTAGCAAGGTGGGTCCCATTTTCCCACCAGCACGGGGGGCACCCCATGCCTCTGGGTCCTGGGCTGAGCCACCACACTGAGTCCTGAAGGCAGGGACCCCTCTGGGTGCTGCTGGCAGGTGGGTGACACAGGCAGGATGGGGTTCTGGCCACTCCAGCTGCCTGTTGTGGTTTGGTGCAAAGCCCCAGGCATGTCCCAAGCCACCAGCAGGCTCAGCCCCAGGCGCTGCCAGGGTGCTCAGGGTCTGCCCTGCACCCTGCCAGGGACGTCCCACTCTGGGCAGCGGGGTGGCGAGGGTCCAGGCCCCTCCGTGGCACAGGCACTCACCCGGGTGAAAGCCAACCACCAGGTCAGGGCGAGCAGCCAGCTTGGTCTCCACGTGGCTTTCCCAGAAGTCGTGGTATAGCCCCTTGTAGCTGCTGAGATAGACCCTTCCCCGGGGTGCTGGCACGGCCAGGGGTGGCCTCATGATGGCTCCGTTGACCACGTCCACCCCCACCATCACCACCTCCATGCCCCAGTGCTCCGGGAACATCCGCGTCAGCTCATCGTAGTCCGTCAGCCGGGTGTTGAGGGTCTCGACGTGGGATGCCCCCACCACGTGCACAGTGAGGGCTTTGGCGAGGGGGTCAATGCCGAAAAGCTGCAGCCCCAAGCCGATGGTGAGCGGGCGTGAGTGGAAGTCGGTGACCAGCCGCCGGACAGATTCACGCAGTTCCCTGTCCTCCGGCCGGGGCTTCCCCGCGTTGGCCCAGAGGAGAGTCATGTACCGCCCAGCCAGGACAGCATCCAGCTTCTCCTCCAGCCCCTCCTGCATGGAGAACCACTCCTCCCAGCCCTTCACGTCCTGGGCGGGCTTTGGCCAAGTCTCCGTGGGGAAGGGGATGTCTCCTGGGAGGGTAGGGAGAAGCATTGGGGGTTGCACCGTGGCTCCACACCCCAGGCTGCCTGTCCCACCCATGCTGTGGGGATGCTGGACCTGGTTAGGGGTGTTGGAGCCAGGAGGAGGAACCCCATATCCCTCCATGGGACCTGTGCAGCCCGAAGTGGGGGTCAGGCAGGCTGGAGGGGTCACACAGCGTGGGAGCAGCATCCCCTGTCCCACCTGTGAAGACAAGCCACTCCACCAGCCGATCCAGGGCCCGATCCAGGGCCACCAGCTTCAGCTTCTTGCAGAACTTCTTGTGCTGTGGCCAGTTGGCACGCTGACACACCACGCCGCAGTAGTACACATTCTGGCACCTGGGGAGAGGGACAGTATGCCCAGCCATGGGGGGGTGTCAGGATCTGGCCTGCTGAGGCTGGGTCC